GATAATACTGATGTTGTTTTCGATTGAAACATGTCGAAAAAAATAAACGACATTAACATATAAGATGTCCTGATGCTGCATTACATCAATGTTTCGTGTGGTGGTTTCTTTTATTTATCAGTCATGGTTTCACATTCGTCGGTAACAACATAAACGACCGCAAGGTAGTATTTCATTGTATTTTAAGTTTATGCACTTTCCGTCCTGTCACGTAACAACGAAAAGAATACGTGAGTAAATATAGTCGCCGTATGGTGACTTTTAATGTTATTTACAAACAAATAATCAACAAATATGACAAAAGCAAACATATGAGAAATACAGCATGGCATTATTCTATATTAAAATTTAAACAAATACATCAGTTGCTGAACGTACGCTTGAATGGGGCTTGTTATACTCCGTCACTAAATCAATATGTCAAACATATGAAAATAGCACATGAAACATACGACTGATCTATCTTTCCTCCACTACTTCTCTGCTTTTACGATTTCTTATACTTATGATATATTTATATCAATACATAATAAGGCTTTTATATATCAATACATAATAAGGCTTTTACCGATTATAATAAATCCCCTAGGGTTGGTGAGTTAACCGTACCTGATGATAATCAATCATAAAGTGTATTAACGATGACGCAACAGAAGGATTTTTTTTTTTGACCACAATACACTGATTTTATGAATATAACGTATTTTGTACATGTACCATATTTTACACTGCATTTCCCCAACTCTACCAACTTCCCCTGTAATTTATTCACGTCGCTATCCCTAAGCTATAGTTGATAATGTTGGTTATGATAAAAGGTAACAAATGTATAAGTGTATTAACACTTGTCTTTGTCTCCAATTCATTTATGTATAATCATATTTGTATTATGTATTACGGTTTAAACTAACCGTACCTGACGGACTGGTTAGGAAATAGTAGCCAGATGATGTTACACCTCTTAATACACCCATGAAGATAACGGCCAACCAAATAGTTCTCCGGTAGACTTATTGCTTTGATTAAACTATCTAACAATTACAGAAAATGAATAAAATTGTGTCATTTGTAGATTTCATAGCGGTGTTCAATATAGTAGTGCACGCCAATGTTTGACTACGTACTTATATGTTTGTCTTAATTCGATTCAAATATTCTGTAATCACATTTTAGACATTTTTAGACAATTTTGTTTTGATGACATTTCCAATAACCTCACTATTAAAATATCGGCATTTCATTGAGTTTTACAGGACACTGGCTATGTGCTCTTGTGACATTTCCAATACCCTCACTATTAAAATATCAGCATTTCATTGAGTGTTACATGACACTGGCTATGTGCTCTTGTGACATTTCCAATAACCTCACAATTAAAATATCAGCATTTCATTGAGTTTTACATGACACTGGCTATGTGCTCTTGTGACATTTCCAATACCCTCACTATTAAAATATCGGCATTTCATTGAGTGTTACAGGACACTGGCTATGTGCTCTTGTGACATTTCCAATAACCTCACTATTAAAATATCGGCATTTCATTGAGTGTTACATGACACTTGCGTAGGAGCTGGTGTATTACTAATGCTACTGTCATTATAATGTAGGTTTCATTACAACCGAGTTTCGTCTTTTTATGACCGAAGCATTGTCACCATTGCCAGTAATTATTGCTGTGCGCGTATAACTACCGTTTACTGCATTGATTGTTTCTGAATTCTGGTTAATTCACATTGAGAATATTCCTAACCTGACATTACCGGTTTCATTTCGACATGCCCATGAATTTGATATCCTGTATAATAGGCTTTTAGTGATAAATTATTCTCACAAAGTTGAATTATTTGTCATTATCTAACGATTATTACAATAGTGATAATACCATACTTCTCGATTATTAAATATATTGCCCAGTTAAATTGATTTTGTACCATTATCAACAGAAAATCAATTTTATAATGGTACATTTGTATTTGGATTAAAATCATGAGAATATTTTATGTATCTGGAATGAATTGGCTCTGAAAAATTCTAAAAAGATTTATGCAATTAATCATTTCATCTCTAAATATTTGAACATTTGAAGATGATTCCGTAAAAGACAAAGACATATAAAGCAATACTTAAAGTTCGACGTAATAACAGTACAGGAACAAAACTAAGTTCCTTTCCAGATGGGGCTAGGCTAATAAACATATCATTGAGACGGAAGAGTCTGTCGATGGGGAATATCTATCATGACAGAAATGACATTTGATATACTAAAATGAATAAAACTCAATGTTAAACTAAAGAAATCCGCATTGGAAAGTTGAGAAATAACAACAGATTTTAGATAGAAAAAAAGCGGAATGTCAGCAATGTGTAGATATTTGGACAAGAAAACAAGCATTTAACGGCGAAACGAAGTATATCAATTAAGATACAGTTGTTGTAAATTAATATAAGGTCTGAGAATGGTGGAATTTTAAAGTAAGTTAATAAAAAGTTTATGGTTCACTTTTTAAGTAACTTTATATAAGTTCTGAGAATAGTGGGTTTGTACATGTAGTAACTTTAAATAAGGTCTGGGAATAATTGTTTTTTTAGTAAATGAAAAAGAGTTTGGGATTTGCGGATAATAAAACCTTGGTACGGAAGCTGTATTCAATCTTTAGAAAAAAACATTATATAGATACCTTCTTTAAGAAATATGTGCATTCATTTATAATTCGTTTCGCTTTTTCCCCATTGACATTTTTCAGTGTTGTGTGTCATATATAAACAAGGAATTTATTATTTCCTAAAAACTCAAACAAATAACTATGATATAATAAATTGGTTATTCTTTTGAGAAAGTACATCATGGCGGCACCTTTTAACATTTTTGTTACTATTGTTGCATAGACTGACGTTTCAAGGTTTTCATGATCACGCACTTTACATGGGCCGTAATTAGGAGTCACAGGGGTTTTAGTCTGTTTTAGATGTTTAGTACTAGATGCTATAATTGTTTGTATACTGGTCTGGATGTGTTACAGAGACAAATTCGAGGAGGTGATTTGAGTTCGAAGACGACAAATCGTTGAAGTACACATTCTCATTCCCAAACTAATCTAATATATGAAGTACACTGCCACGGTAACCCCTAGGCCGAAGGATATTACTGTCTGGTCGCCTGTGATCGCACTATAGCTTTAGTTCATGAACCACGTAGACTCAATTAGACAAAGATACTCCTCATTATACAATTCAATCACCTACTGGGTTCCGATGGCCTGGGTGGAAGCCACATCAATTTAGACACTAGTCAGAATGATTTTTGTCTCAAAGCTTACATAAGACTTAGGGTCATGATTCACTCTTTGTATTTCATTGCGAGTAAAGTAAGACAGTGAATTTATCAAACAAACAATCTCTGCTATGGTTGTGATAATGTACGTTTTCAATAAAAGATGTGTACTTTCAAATAAGCTTTAGCCTTAGATTTATCTTTTTATTTCCTTGTTTCATGCCTTCCTATTTTCATCGTTTCCTAACTTTGGTTTTCTCTCCATGCTGTTCATTTTTTATTTACAGAACTTGCTTTTAAAAGGTGTTTCTTATTCCAAATCCAAGTGTTTAACCAGATTTTAAACACATGTGTTTCATTCACCTATACATGTGTGTTTCTTTCACCTGTACACGTGTTTCTTTCACCTGTACACGTGTGTTTGTTTCCCCTGTACACGTGTAATTCTTTCACCTGTACATGTGTGTTTCTTTTACCTGTACATGTATGTTTCTCCCACCTGTACATGTATGTTTCTCTCACCTGTACACATGTGTTTCTTTCACCTGTACATGTATGTTTCTTTCACCTGTACATGTATGTTTCTGTCACCTGTACATGTATGTTTTTTTCACCTGTACACGTGTTTCTTTCACCTGTACTTGCTTGTTTCTTTCACCTGTAAACATGTGTTTCTTTCACCTTTACATATACGTGTCTTTCACCTGTACATTTGTGTTTCTTTTACCTGTACATGTATGTTTCTTTCACCTGTACACGTATGTTTCTTTCACCTAATCATGTATGTATCTTTCACCTGTACATGTGTGTTTCTTTCTCCTGTACATGTGTGTTGCTTTCACCTGTACATGTGTGTTTCTTTCACCTGTACACGTGTGTTTCTTTCACCTGTACTTGTTTGTTTCTTTCACCTGTAAACATGTGTTTCTTTCACCTTAACATGAACGTGTCTTTCACCTGCACATATGTGTTTCTTTTACCTGTACATGTATGTTTCTCTCACCTGTACATGGGTTTTTTATTCACCTGTACACGTGTGTGTCTTTCATCTGTACATGTGTGTTTCTTTCACATGTACATGTATGTTACTTTCACTTGTACATGTGTGTTTCTTTCACCCGTACATGTATGTTTCTTTCACCTGTACACGTGTTTCTTTCACCTGTACATGTGTTTCTTTCACCTGTACATGTATATTTCTGTCACCTGTACATGTATGTTTTTTCACCTGTACACGTATGTTTCTTTCACCTGTATATGTGTTTCTTTCACCTGTACATGTATGTTTCTTTCACCTGTACACGTATGTTTCTTTCATCTGTATATGTGTGTTTATTTAAGCTGTACATGTATGTTTCTTTCCCCTGTACACGTGTGTTTCTGTCACCTGTACACGTGTGTTTCTTTCACCTGTACACGTATGTTTCTTTTGCCTGTACACGTATGTTTCTTTCATCTGTATATGTGTGTTTATTCAAGCTGTACATGTATGTTTCTTTCCCCTGTACACGTGTGTTTCTTTCACCTGTACATGTGTGTTTCTTTCACCTGAACACGTATGTTTCTTTCACCTGTATATGTGTGTTTCCTTCACCTGTACATGTGTGTTTCTGTCACCTGTACACATGTGATACTTTCACCTGTACATTTGTGTTTGTTATGGTCATCGATTTTGGCTAGATACATGCCAATTGACTGTGAACAAAATCAAACATTGTTACATGTATACGATTTAGATATAATTTATTGTCATCATTTAAAAACATTTCACGGACGGACATTACAAATTATATGTTTACACCCATCCATTTCAACATTTTTTACAATGGATTATGTACAGGCTTAATATTTCCTAGAAATCATCTTACAATTACCACAATACACACAAGGGTAACACAGAAGTAGGAACACAACACAATGACACGGACGATTGGAATTATTCATTGTTTTTAAAATCATTCTGTTTTGGATATTGTCATACAACTGATAATAGCCACCTAAGCGTTTGGATAACACAAACACCTAACATTGATCTCCCTCTCGAATCCCGATGCACAGTTTTGGCAGTATATGTACACTACAGTGGGTATGCATTGTATTACCTACTGGAGGATTTATCAAAAGTTTAACTAATCAATAGGTACTCTCTTACAAGTATTTACGTATATTTACTTCGTATATATAGGCAAAAATATTATTATTCCCATTGAAGTCCAATCAGGATAATCTTCAGAAAACATATTTATATTACGGCATTTATAATGTTTATTATTTTCACGACTGTTATAATGCGTTTCATCGTGCTTATAATGACTTCAATAATCATAATTATAAAGTTAATAACTTCCTCTCGTGTAGGGATAGACTATTTTTGACAAAATGTTGCCATGTCAGCATGGTATCTACCAGACGACACAATGCTGTCATGGTAACCACAGTTATACTAGACGACGCTATGGAGTGACGACAGCCTCTGTCTACCATATGACGCACTTGTTGACAGGATTCATGGGACTGCCGACAGGACAGCTGAAAGCCTCTGCAAAGTCGTGGTTGTTCGATGTTGGACCATTCGCTCTGTTCAACGAAAGGAAATTGAGAACTCACTAATAGTACAGACAAAGTTTCAAATTAATTGAAGAAATTGAAATACATGTCAATAAGGGATAAAGTCACAGCTCTAACTAATTGGTACGTGACTATCAGGTATATGTTGAAAGATGATATTCCTGTAATAGTGTACAGTTATTAAACAAAGCATTATTTTCAATGTTTGTTTAACAATATTTTGTATCAGTTGATTTTGTTTGATTTCCAACTGAATGATCAGATAACTGTAATCACGGATAATTACATATTTTCAGTTTTTCTTAAAAAAAAAATCAGGTTCATTTTAAAAACAAAGAAAATATCATTGTTATGATTGTATTTACCTTACAAGAGTAAGACATATGGTACACGCTACCATGACAGATTATAATACTCCATATTATTGTTAGATTAAGGTATATTAAATAAATGGACATTTTCATGGAGGGTTGCTTTATTCAATGTTAGCGTTGTATTCGTACCTTTGAAATTTGTCTAAAATGAAATAACGAGTCCAAATGACCATTCAGAAATATTTTCATAAAAATGGAATTAATTCTGTGTCTAAGAAGACTCTACTGTAGCTACATATGTAGTAGAGGTATGAGTAAGGACACTTGGACAGTGGATCTAGCAATAGTAATAGTCAGTATCTAAACTGTGGCACATTTGCCTTAATTGTTGCTACTGCACATGTAAGCAAGTAAATTGTGGCACAGTAGCCTAATATAGCTAATGTACACGATCTATTTTAGCTAGTGTCGTAGGGTCGAGAAGCATTTAGCTATTACAGTGTTAACGTATATTACTATTTAACTACCATAATGAATAATTCTTTTCAGTGTGAAGGATCAAAGACATACCTTGACTTTACGTCGCTGTGAACATCAACCCGAATTCTCCTGAGTGCCTCTTCTGGTCTAATTATCCCACACCACACCTAACATAGGAAAGTAACATCGTCAGAATATAGGATGAACAATGGAAGTAACTATTATCGAAAACAAAAATGTTGTATCCATCTTCAACTGCCAGTATTTTAACGAATCTGTTATTGAACGGCATAGCTGAATTTGAATGTGACTAGCATGGTATTTGTCTCCATCAGCTTCAATTATTGTACAAGACGCTTTTTACACTTTTTTCTTTGGTGAGTTGACGTGCATTTATTTTCAATTCAAAGGTAAAATATAGCATTATATTATATTATAATTGTTGATTTTAATATTTCCCACGCCGGTTTATTGTAATTTACATCCCCATTGTTACACATCTATATACCATATTAAATGTAGAATACTTACATGTGCAGCGTTTAAGAAGAAAAGCTGGTTTGGAGTGTACTCTAATCCCGGAAGCTTAGGTTCCTCTCCGTTCTCCTTGACCCAATTCCGGTACGCCCGGAAGCTCTCCTTAAGGCCACCATTGTCAGCAATGTTCTCTCCGAGCGTAAGTTTTCCATTTAACTGTAAAACATATGGCAGCACAGGCATCAATTAGCTCTATCCTGTCTAGCACACTTCCACCATAATATTTGGTTTATAGATATCAGATACAAAAGGAAATAATTAAACTGACAGAACCTGTACAATCATCTAAATATATTAAACGGTTTTACACATATTGTTACCATTAATTTTATCTTTAAGAACCGTTCACTTTGCAATGATAATCTTCCTTCATTTAAATATGAATTACATTACAAAGGTAAAGGTCATGTGATTGTTTCTTATTATTTCTAGACGCTCCAAATAAACATTTGACTTTTTACAACGGACAGACGTGCATTCTTACCTATGATGTACAAGTCGTATTACATAGTGTACAATAATCATATACACCTATCTATGCATTAACTTTGGATTTGTATTTCATTCCAATGTTTTTTATACTTCCTATTTGTTTTATTTCATTATTTATGCAAACACACGTTAATTCACTGTTGTCGACGTCATACCATTAGTCTACGACTACTATTGAAACGTTGTATATTACATGTTGCATATTTTGAACGCAGCATTGTAAAGACAAATACATAACTGAGAGATGAGGCAATACAACTGTGATTTAATACGGTTTGTAACACGCTTTTTCGATGTTTTGTGTTAACTGTCTACCAAGTGATAGATCGGGGGAAAAATAAGAGCAGATTTTGATGACATCATACACAAAGTACTACTTATTTACTTATAACTACCTATTTCTCAAAATAGTAACCATCTGTCACATTGAAATAATCGTCTAAAGCCACGTCTTTTGACATTGGAAATTCAAGCATTGCTCTCGATTTTAAAAGAGATGACATGGAAGAATTGCCGACGACTAGCGAAACCCTAAATAAGACACAAACCAATCTATTATCTAGTCCAATCCTTAATTGTCCACGCGAAAACAATCTCACCTTTTGATTGGCTGCCTCCACGGTATAGCCACCGTACTGTTTCACCATACAATCCGCCTTGGTTTTAAAATTAGTGATAGAAGAGTTTGTCCACCAGGCGTTCAGTTTTCCTGTTTTATCGTATCTTCGACCTAAACAGTTAATAATCAAGGTTTTGGTTTGGTTGTATACTGTTTAACGTTCTATTAATAGCTGAGGTCATTTACAGTGGAGCATTTTTTAATAGAATGTTCCGATTTTAAACACATTCGTGATAACTACTTCCGAGTCCTGGATATGAAAACACTTTTCAGTTCCGTGGATTCGAAGGCATTATTTAACTATTTGAAAGACATCGGTCTATTTTATAGACTCTGATGTCTTTAAACCAACCTTATCATTTTTTACGTTATATATATATCGCATATTCCATATCATCTATTCGTTATCTCTTTTATTATTGTAACCCCCTTTAATTATTCTTTATTATCTACACATACAATGCGAATACTTTTAAAATGAACCATTTTATCTGATTTTATCTTCGCTATTCACATGTTTGTTAAAAAAATAAAAAAATAAAATAAATCACCATGGCCCTAAATGACCACAGCCGTCGATGGGCCGTTAAACATAAACAAACAAACAAACAAACATTTAAGGACGCAGTATCAAGGGAACACGGTAAACATATATATATATATTGTATTCATCACTGCTCAACAAGTACAAAGAAAGATCTCGATACTAAAAGACAAAAACATAACATGGGTTTCATTTACAAGCATCATATTGAGTCTTCATATTAACCTTTTTTATATGCAATTCGTGACCGAAAACAGCACCCACTGCGATAACATAAAATGGTCGATATTTGTTGAAACTATTATTAAGGATCACCGTCCCGCTGCAGGCAAACCACTTCTGTTTTGCTGTGTATTTTTTCGTATATACAGTTATCGCCCTTTAATTTCATTTTTGATAGAACTATATCACCATTGGGCAAATAATATCTGTAGATAAGGTAAACAATCTGAGCTCCAGGTTCAGAGTCCTGGTGAGGCCATGCTGAATTTTTACACACAAAATACTGTTGTTTATTATTTCTATTCGGAAATGATTTATTAAATGTATAGTTATGACAGGAAAAAAAGAGAGTTTCAAATGCATATTTACAGTTTTTGCAATGCCATAAGGATTCTTCAGTTAACAAAAGAGAGCGATTGAAACCAAATTATTTCGCATTCAATTGACGATTCGTTTGTTACAGTAACGGAGAAACCCACCATTGTCGTCAAATCCGTGAGTGATCTCATGACCAATGACGTAACCAATACCGCCGTAGTTCAGGTATCTGGGGAGACAAGAGACCAGGTCATGTTAAACGGATGTCTTCAATAGTTCATACATTTCTATATAAAGCAACGTATGTGATAGCAAATCATAGTGATAAAGGTATGTAATGGTGTGTAAATAGTTATCGTTTAATATAACTAAATACGGAGATGTATGTACGTACTTGTGACCTACATGTAAGCAAATACTCATCTTAAACATTTGTTTCGAAAACGTGAATTAGCTCGTCATTAGATAAGAACTCGTGTCATTGCATACTATCTATAACGAATTTGTTGACTACAGATCCATGTGGTATGTAGCCGTTGTAGGAATTTCAAAGTCCAACTTTCGCCCTCCATCGGTAAAATCCTTCTTAGCCCCGTTATAATTTTGCCCTACACATTTAATTACTTTACCCTTAATCGTGTTAACAACTGTTCGCTTTAACGATACATTCACCATCATTAAGGAGGGAGAGAAAAAAGGTGAAAATAAACTACAGCGAAATAATTTCGGCATATACAAATCATTCATTTTGATAAGGTAAATCAAACATGTAATTGTATGTTTACTATATATATATTTGTATGTATCCATTTGTAAATATAGTTATTATCCATATATGCATAATTAACAAATATGTTTATTATGTATATTAATTAATAATATGGATGTTACTAAACTATATTTTACAGTATTTTAAAAACAATATATACGTACATAAAACACTCTATATAAGTACATTAAGCCCCATTTATAAATTCAATAGTCGCTTACTGTGGGTAATCCTTGTGGTAAAACGGTGGCTGTAGAATGCCAGCTGGAAACGCTACGAATCAGCAATAAAAACGGTAAATTAGATCAGTATATATACACATCCAAACGGTAAATTAGATCAGTATTCAAATATTAAATATCTATACACATTCAAACGGTTATAGAACTGGACTTAATATATGTATATTGTGTATTAGTTACAATAGTTAACACGTTTTTATTCAGCAATATATCATACACCTTGTCATTTTGTGGACGGTACACATGTGTTAACAAGTCCATGTCACCATTCCTATAACAAGACGATTAATATCCCTGTAAGATATATAAATTTCTGAAACATTGAAATATATTGGTGTATTGTATAACTATAAAGTATATTGAAACTTGTATACGTTTATCGAAAAATTGCCATTATTCTTCCTTATAAGATTGTCTCAGACACTAAAAATATCAATAAGGTTCAACTGGGATGGCCTACTGTAATGACATACTTATCTGGTTCCTGGGAGGGTTGTAGAAAGCATTCACTGTAGCAGGATCTGTCTCCCACCTGTACAACACATAGAAGCCATTAACATCCGTCAACAATACCAATGAAGCTTACCATTGTTTTACTTAGCAGCTTAAACTCCTTCAACTAATGCTTTGGTACTTTTTTATTTATACGCATAGACATTTAGTATAAAGCGTTTAACACAATCATTATCTACCATTCTCTCTCTCAATGTGACTAGCATCATTTCTCCCATACATTAAACATTTTCTCCACTCGATTAAGTTATATAATAACCATACAACCACCATATGTACATACAGCACTATATCACCCTTAGTTATAGTACTTGATATGAAACCCAAATGTCCTGGTTTTGGTTTGGTGTTATGGGGGAATAAAGATGTTCAACTTGTGCCCAGATTTTCCTTCGAATGGGTTGAAACTTATTCGCTTGAATGGATATAACAAACAGTTCAAGTAAGGGCATTAGTGTTACATGTAAGCAAGTTTCTGTTCCCCATAAACCAGATATGTTTCCCGAGGCGAGGCTAGAAACACACATATATATATGTATCGATATTATTTTCAAATGCAGTACTCCATCGGCAATTTTGAGAGAAAAAAAAGGTTATTGAAAGCCTTATCTACTGTTCTAATGTCGTCTGCGTTCTTCTCTAGTACTAAATAAAATTCGGTGGTAGGTCAGTTTAGTACAAACTCTGACAACCTCTCATCTAAAGTTTTCGGTTCTTTCCGTGAGGGAGCTACGGAAACAACCGATATCACTATCCATGAATATCCTTTAAATCTACCACGGACATTTTATGCATTTGTCAAAGAGGTATCAAAAAGACTGCAAAACAGCTTTTATAGATACATATAAAATTTTCACGAGAACGAAGTCACCATGTAACCTTGTATTATGATTAGGGGAACCCGCTTATGTCTTACTTCCCCTCGCTTTCACAAAAAACATTTTGTTCACTCCTGGTTCACCTTCTGACTGGGAAATACACTTTCTAGCATGACTATGTATAAAAGCAAGTTCATTCAAAAAGTAATGTCACGTTACATATTTTGACGGAGTCGATCAATGAACGCTTTCATATGTTTATATGTTTATAATATATAAATGATAAAGTATCACTGCCACTTTACTTATTACATTAGATTTTTAGGTTGGAAGCATACATATTGATGTATGTACAAACATAATACATCCTCAACACACACGCAGGCATACACGCATAGGGAGATATTAGCCAGGTGGCATAGGACTAGTAGTAAGCGCCTGATAAGGCAGCTCCTGCAAATCCTCAAAAATGGTATTGACTAATGTATATGCTAATTGTATTAATTGTATATCTGTGTACTGTAAAGCGCTTTAGAGTGACTATGTTAGCTAGAAAGGGTGTTATATCAAATGTTGTATATTGTTATTATTATAATTGTAAACAGTTTTTTATTTAAATATTCCAGTACATTTCATACTTTCATTGCCGTGGTAAAATCTTTCTTGGACCATAAAATAGTCTATAATCAAATACTTTATACGAAATTTATCTGTGCACAAGTCATCAGAATTTGGGAGCATTTCAAAGGAAAATGTACATCAAATATAAACAATACCTTTACGATATTATTATCTTACTTTTGTCTGTCGACCTTCTGTCTCAGCTTCCTAAGACCATAGTATACAGAATTCACCCTTGAATTTAGGGTGTTATTAAAATAGGCACTTGCGGTCACTGTGTACTGAAACAAAAATAAAACTTGTTATTGATATACTGTCAACACTCACAGTCTATCACGCCATTTTTTTTCAATTCACAACAATCAATGCAGGTTAAAGTAGACTTTGCTTCGTAACACATTGACAATATAAAATAATGGTATAACTACGAGCTTTTTTACTTTAAAAATGTCTCAGTGCATAAAAAAAAAAACAATTCCTCATCAATCATATGCTTATGTAGCAGACTTTTTCTGTTTAATTTTACTTACATTTTCGTAACGTTCATTAAGGAAGCTATCGTCCATTACATCATCTGGGTAACCTATTCGGGGTATAATGGCCTTCAACTGTCAGGTAGAAAAGACATAGCAGCACTGTTAGTAATTTTCCTATATTTTAACAGGACGATGCAAAAACTAAACAAAGAAAACATTTGCTTCACCATAGAAAGATGGACGTAACACACAGGTGACTGTACCTTTAAGATTTGGTAATAAATACAGCATGCCAAAATTAATTGCACTGCACCGAACAGCTGTTTCGTCCTTCTAGGAACTGTTTTGTTTTGATTTGGGGTTTTTTGTTTTGTTTTTTTGTTTTTTGTATTGTTTAACGGGCTATCGACAATTGTCGTCATTTAGGGCAAAAAATAATGTAAAAAGAGACATTCACGAAAATAAACACATCAAACCAAAAAGGTAATAGCTTGAAATATGTAAAGGATTAAAGAATTACATCAATATCGAACAAATTGGTTGTACAATATATCATATTGAAAAGACCAATAGAGTGTAAATAGTCAAATATTAATTGCACAGAAACTGTATCGAATAATATTTTCATAGACGGTACATCATAAAATTTGTCACGTATTTCTTTGACAAATTAATGTCATGCCACAATGTATGTGAAGGTTTCTTTTTGATTACAAAAAAAAAAAAGTTTCTTAACTTTCAATACGATACACCACTGTGTTTTAGCTGTAATAACGTTATATGCATTTGAAGTGAACTGCTTGTGCATATAGTTTTCAATGACATATATATTAAACAAAACTTCACAAACTCCAAGTCGTTACTACATGTACAGTATTTAAGTTGTCTGAAGCTATACACTCATTAATAAATCCAAAACACAAATAACATAAATATATGTAAAACAACTATATTTTTACATTTAAACCAACTTAATTCACTTTGGATCAGATGTATCGTAACGTTCACATTTTTATATGACAGCGATTTAACAAGGAACTAATCAATGCTGCAGTGATTGTCTTGTTGCGGTTACGTTTGAGCTTAACGATACAGTGACCTACCTTATCGATGGCAACAACTTTTGTAGCTTGATCCATCCAGGCATTCTCAGACAACAATCCCTTCATAGCTACACGAAGGTTGGATATCATCTGTAATGCCTATAACATACAGGGAATAACAATATATAACGTACAGGGAATAAAAGATGATAGTAACACACTAACACACGGGTTATTCTCTCTTTATCATTTGAGTATAGAGACAGTATGTCATAAAGATGGATAACACTGCATCAAACAGCTGTTCCGTTCTTCTAGGACTTGTTGGTATACTAGGGCCAAACATGTTTGAAATCCAAATTGTCTTAACTATTGTTGTAACAGAGAGGCAGGTGTATAGTGAATACAAACTTAAAACGTTAAGCGCATTAAAGCATTGGAAAAACAGCGTGTAAAAAAATACAATAAACAATTAGAATAATAGAAAAAGGAAATGTATGATGTGTAGTAAATAAATCTAAAGTAAATAGATAAAAATGTAGTAAATAAATGCCTACATTTTACAATGAATAATGTTCAATACTGCACAGTGAATAAAAGAGTAAAATACACAGCGAATAAATGCAAAAAATGAAAGGTTAACAAATGCCTTCAATACACTTTAAATGAAGTCTATATAGGACAGTAAATAAGGGCATCAGTAACACATAGAAAACCTTTGGTATTGTTGTCATCAATTATATCACACGTTATTCTTTTCTTTTCTAATACATTTTTTTGTTGTGTTCGGTTCCAATCCAAAAATTATTGCATGACGGGTTATTGCTTCATAACTGTTTTCAAATTGTAACATCATTATAAAATTTTGAAATTACCTTCAAAAACTCGAATATTGGTGTATTGTATAACCATAAAACGAATAACACGTTTTCAGGAACTTGATATCAAATACGATAATACTTCTAGTGCTTACGTCCTGCTTAGCTTCCTGATCAAATGCTTCTTTAACAAAGAGTTTGCCCACAGCCAGTCCGAGTCTGCCGTTAGCATACCCGGTACATGCGTGCCACCTCGGCTCAGCAGTCTTTGACCCCTGTAGTACCTGTAGGGGTAAGGGGTCAATAAAATAGTCAGTGTGCGGTTATACCACACCAAACAAGTTTAATAAGAATAGCATTGGTAGCAAAAACAACCCAAATTAATTTTAAAAGTAGCGAAAACCACAACGAAATAAGAAATCAAATATTTCTTTCAGTTATTCAGAGAAATGTTTTTTTAAACCATTAATTCTAACAATCTAATAATCTTAATAATCTTTCTGAAGTGTATCAAACATGTTAATTAATCAGGATTAAATCCTAGCAAAGCTTAGTTGATGTCACATTATTCTTAACGATATTAACAACAGTTCTTGTTGTGATTGTACTCCAGCATTTATTATTCTTTTGGACAAATAACATATTACGTGTGCAATACATGTATGAAAATTGATTTTCGTTACTGGAATTAATACATTTTCATATACCAATACGAAAATAAATGGCATGTTCGAATGGTGACTTTGACCTCAATTATTTACTCACCCCGTGGTAATCCTGTCGTAGTGCCCGGATGTTAGTCGGGAGTGAAAGGGCCATCTGTGACATACTCATCCACAGCACATAATTTGCTAGGACCTGCTCTCTGTGGACAGGTTAACCATGGTACACTCAGATAAATCACAGACACATACACATGCAACTATCTTTATATGGTTCGTCAACGTCAATACTTCTCATTCATATATATGATTTTTATCTTTGATTAATAAATGCCGGACGAAATAGGAAAGGTTTGACTTTCGTTTCAATGTAAAGCTCACAATGTAAAATATGTCAAAATAATAAAAAGCCACCTTTAGTTATGGTTGTTATTGTATACTCTTGACGATATATCATTGATGTTGGTGACGTCACAATGTGTGTTATAACAGGTATCGAAATAGTATCATGTATATCGTATCGCCTGTTATCTTAACTCGGTATAGTCACAAATTGATCCCTAGCCACACATCATAAAGCTATGTGAATTTCGTGTATGAAGGGCGATAACCCATATGAGGAATTGCACTTACTTGTTCGAAATTCCATTGATCATGGTAAATATTTTACTCATGTAATCAGGATTTTCGACAATGACATTTTCTGATTCGGTCACCCTGTATCCGATTTCTTTGACGCCCAATACCCCGTTAAAATAGTCCATCCATTGGAACTAAAACAATCAGTTTAACAAAGCAGGTCAATATTCGTTATCATTGTTTCCTGAAAGTTGAGCATGGTTTCTCTGACCGAATATCATAAAACTTACAAAATAAAGCAAAAAATACAGACTTAACAACAAAACAAAACGACAACGCATATCAACAAATCATTCAATACGACAGAACAACATGACTTAACAACAGGGCATAGCAACATAACCTAACAACAGGGCATAGCAACATTATCTTACAACAGGGCATAGCAACATAATCTTACAACAGGGCATTGCAACATAACCTAACAACAGGGCATATCAACATAACCTAACAACAAGGCATAGCAACATAATCTAACAACAGGGCATAGCAACATAATCTTACAACAGGGCATTGCAACATAACCTAACAACAGGGCATAGCAACATCACCTAACACCAAGGCATAGCAACATAACCTAACAACAAGGCATCGCAACATAATCTAACAACAGGGCATAGCACCATAACCTAACCCCCCCCCATAGCAACATAACCTAACAACAGGGCATAGCAACATAGTCTTACAACAGGGCATTGCAACATAACATAACAACAGGGCATACCAACATAGCCTAACAACAGGGCATACCAACATAACCTAACAACAGGGCATATCAACATAACCTAACAACAAAAGACATAGCAACAACGCCAAATAAAAAGACAGGTATAACGCCTAACACGACATAACAACTACGTCTAACGACAAGACAACAACGCATTACATAGCAACAATACCTTACAACAATACATAACAACAATACTTAACAGCAAAAAGTCACAACAACAACACCAAACAAAAAGACAGTAATAACGCCTAACAAGACATACATGTACAGTGTTATAAAAGACAGCAACAACGCCTAATGACAAGATATCGCAATAACGCCTTATATAGCAACAAAACAAATCGAAACGACATGGCAACAACTCTTAACAACAATATATATCAACAACATTCAATGACAAGACAACAACATAAACCCAAGAAAAATAATGTATCACGCATGGCTACAAACAACTACCGACATGCCATAGTAAAGACACAAAAAACAAAGACATTCTACTACCTATCAAGAAACGGCGAGAAACACATCACCTCAAGATGCAGCAACAACAAAAAACAAGAGCAATACATACTAACAACACATAAAAACAAACAGCTCCATATGTTTAATATAATATAGCAACTACATATAATGTATATGCTACTTGACTTCCTATCACGGAAACTTTAATTGTTTTGACGGATTGACTCTGTTGCTGCTCCCTTGCTGTATGATGTACTTACCTGCGGGTATCGTTGCTTCAGCGTTGCAATAGTCATTTTATTATACAGTTTGTCTGCATTTCTTCTCTGATCAGATGGCATGGTCAACTGAATTTAAAAACAAAATGTCAACGTCAATATCGAATTCTGTTTACATACAGTGTGATGTTAAAAGACTGTATTTGTAGCTGATTAGTGTTGATCTCTTCCGTTATATTTCACACATTTTGTTACTTTATAAGTAGTCGACAGTGATACACACTTTACAGTAATGATAATAATGAAGACATCCAAGGTTAAATTGAATACAACAAAAGAATTATTATTCGACAATCAACAGATTGAATTTTCCTCCACTTTTAACGTTGGAATAGCATACATTAGCAATCTTTATTTCAAAATCCACCATTTCCTTCATCTGTTGCTCGGCCGTTGCTTGATTAGCGCCGAACGCCTTGGCTAGCTCCACAGCGTACTTCTCGTACGCCTTCAATGTCCTGTCGTTACGGCCATTTAAATAGTACTTCCGGTCGGGCATGCCCAGTGACGGCTGATCAAGCTGTTAACAGGAAATCAATTAAAATTACATATACTCACTGTTTACATCTATCATTATATCTGTTCTTGTTTACGCTCTATAAAAGTTAAACAAAATACGATATATACCTAAAGTTATCTTCCAAAGAGGATATATCACCAATTAATTAGTCTTTGAAACTTATCCTCAAAGTTAAGAAAAAATGCTGTGATATACGCATCTCTCTATCTGATCAAACATAAATATATATGGTATTGTATTTAACATCGCCTTGTACCTCGTCCTAAGAACATGAAAACAATTAATTTAAAGTTTATATGTTGACTAATATTTCAGTCCCTTATCGATAAAAACAACAGCAACGTTTTACCTAATTTTGAATGGTTTCCAGGCAAGAAAGTATTTAACAAGCTTATAAGACTATCATGGTCTTCAGGGTTTGTGTTTTGAGAACCTTATTCACAGGCGTCATATCGTCCTATCATTATATACATTTAAGGATAACCAGGCCTTATAGTATTAGGAGTAGAGAACGTTGCGATAGACAGAAGTAGTTTTTAGAAGCTATACAATGATGTGTATTGGTACATTAAGGTTTCCCTTAGCGTTCCCATATATAAATGTTTACCTACATAAAGCTGTGTCACATTTACTATCATAATATTATTCTATAAATAACGAATATTTGTTATCCCTAAAGATGTGCTACAAATAACATCATATTATACATAATATCATGCTATATATAACATCATGTTATACATAATACCATGTTATATATAACATAATGTTATACATAATATCTTGTTATACATAAAGGTGTGTTATACATAATATCATGTTATATATAATAGTATGTCATACATAACGATGTGTTATACATAACGATGTGTTATACATAATACCATGTTATATATAACATTATGTTATACATAATATCTTGTTATACATAAAGGTGTGTTATACATAATATCATGTTATATATAATAATATGTCATACATAACGATGTGTTATACATAACGATATGTTATACATAACGATGTGTTATACATAGAGTATATCATGCTATACATAATGAGGTTTTATAAATAATACCATGACATAAATAATGATGTGTTATACATAATATCGTTTAATACTTACATGTATATAATGTTATACCGAAGTCATAATGCTGGGTTATACATTTTGTTGTATTATACTTACATACACACATGTATATAATGTTATACTTACATACACACATGTATATAATGTTATACTTACATACATAATGTTGTTTTCAATGTCCTTGGAATCATCATAAACATACATGTCCACAATAGGACTGTTACTATACTTCCTGGTCCGTTTTAGAAGCTCCTCCAGTCCCAGAGTGTTGGACTGACCCAACACGGGCCAACCTCCTAGTTTATTTATCAGGTCAAGTCCTTCACTGACTCCCAATGAATCTATTTTATCTGCAATTAACAAATATGTTAATGTCTCCCAAGAATACTCTGATAAAACTGCCTTCCGCATAAGGTCTAAATCTTTCATATTCTTTAATAAGGCATTAAAAAGAGCATTCCTCTTAATATTTATATTTAAAATATTTATCACTGAATGAAATTGCCACTATATAACGTAATTCAAATTTAGATATCATTCATATCAGTTATGAATGTCATGGCCCAATTGTTGACCTCGTCTTTATTCAGACGATGGCTATCACTTATTCTCCCAGAAAGATAGCAGTTCTTTTCATTGAAAGAAAACATAAACGGATTTTAACTAAATGCTGAAATATAGTAAATTTCCTACGAGAACATTTGAAGTGATAAATCTAAATATTGGACTACTTTTAGTTGATAAATTAGTCAATATGAATTGACAGTTTTGAAATCCCTATGGGTCAACGTGACAAATAAATCGGGGACGCAATTGCGTTTAAATGTTTAAGTAATCCAACAGTTTGTTTGCTATGTTATATATAAAACATAGGAAAGAAAATAATCAACGGATGGAACATCGGGATATCAATCAACAGAAAAGACCGAGGCAACCCGAAATGGCAAAAAAACCAGAAACCAAAACAAATGTATAACATCGACCAGAGGACGTCATTAACAAAACGGAGGAGAGAAGAGGTGTTCCGGAAGGAGGATCAAGCCGATAACCAATGTGACATGACGTATAGAACAGTCAGTTACCTTCGTCAACACACGACTGGTACATGTGTTTGGCTTTTTTAATAGCTTCCGGGTCCTCTGTCGTCACTTCCGCCTCCAACAGATCTGCAAGTACAATTAATTGGGTTTTTTTGAACACATAACACTTTTCTTTTATTTCCTTGACAAAATATCTAAGCATAATTTACTTTAAATATGTTTAATAGATACACATAAGCTTTGCTTATCTAAATAAAGCCTCTGAATGCACATGGCGTTTCAATGTTAATTATAAAACATGGATGTTCTTTCCATAAAAATTACCTCGACACAATACTTACATTTGAGTGTGACCTTGACATCTTCACGAACCTGGTAGAACGTGCCAAATACAGACTCCTCTGACTTGAGCACATGGCGCTTAGCCCAGCGTCCGCACGCGTATTGATGGAAATTCTCACAGGGATCGGCAGTTACGTCAATAGAGTCAGCCATCTCGGCCGCTTAAATAAAACAAAAGCCGTCACTAGTTGTTCTTTACAGAATATTGTCATACAGCATGTAGATCATGATCATCAGTGATATAAACATTGTCTGAAACTGTGATCTTATAATAATTTAAATCATGCATATGTATGGAAATGGTAACCTTCGTGATGTCGAGTAAATTGAAAGGCAGCTTAGTGGCGTACATTATGAATGTACAAAAAATGCATCAACTCAAACGTTGATTTATAAATGAATCACACGTTTTGTCGCTAAATGAGGAGTATTTACCTGCCCTTGCACAGTCAGCCGTAAGACACCGGTAAACTACAAGTAAAAGATATATACTAATTTGTTGTAAAGATGCGTGCATATATGTCTGTACTGCATACCCTTTATAAATCATTCTCATACAAAGAAAGCTGTTAAAGATCTGTTACAAACGAAAATATATTATCTCATTTTATTGATGTCAAATTTAAAGTGTCCAAAACATAAAACAAGGGAGATAAGTCAAATTACAATTATATAAACAATACACTTAGAATTATTTTAGAGAAATCGATTTTAAAACAAACAAAAAACCTGGACACCAGACATCATTAGATATATTACCCTTTGCCGAATCCTTTGCAGGTTGTTGAATCATCTGTGCAGGTTTGCTCTCAGCGTCATCTATCTTCTTGGCAGAAATGACGGCAAGGGCGATAACTAGGGCTAGAATCACTACCAGAGAGAGGACAAGTCCGATCAGGATACCACGTGACGCCATACTGCTCTTGGGATCCTTCATACTGTAATGTAAAGAAGTTAAATGTACACGTGTCTGAATCCTAAATCTTAGTGTGTGTGGAAAAAGAAGCTTTAATTTTTACCTTTTCTAACATAACTTTCAATCATTGTGACGGAACCTTTCCTACATTTGTATCGGGGTGTGATAATAATATGTGTAAGTGTGTATAAATGAAACTTTTTATGTTTGATGATGATGATGATGATGATGATGACGATGCTGTTCAATATGTCCAATACCTGGTATGCTTTTCAATATATACAATAGCGGTTCTGTTATTCCAACTATTTACCAACTACAGTAACGGGAAGGTCAGTAGATTAACATATGTTTGGAAGTGATTCTGAAGCGTTGTTTTAGTTCAACCTTTTGCTTTACAGTCATGGTACAAATGTAGTCGGTCTTTTCCGTCGTATAAAACTCCTTTAAAGACACGATGCTGAAGAGTTTCAAGCTTTGAGAAATGCAGTATCTCCATTGCATATAAGGTATTCCGATTATCAGATATAATCCATTGGATGTGATAAGATAATTTGGAATAATGTTTGTAACAGTGAGGTACGCTACCTGATTATTTCATCAACAATCTTATTAGAATTATACTTGTAATTCTGCTCTTCTACGATACACTTTAATTTTGATTGGATTGTTTGATCAACAAACGACTAACGAATACTGTAATAACCTTAGGTTAGGAACATAGTTGACCTCGATTGGGTCCGTTCCGACAGCTGTACACCCCAGTACCTGGCAACCTGGGCTTAAACAATATTGGTGAACTAGTTTTTTTTCACTACTCAAATACCGATATCACTGGTAGCTATTCTCGTTACGTCCTTGTCAACACATGCTCGCACAGCGAAAACCATGCAAGTACGTTCTTATTCATAAATGGATAAGACAGCATTCATCGGGCTCCCGGGGAACTTTGTTGACAGGGCGGGATCCAGATGAGACACGTCTGATAACGCTGCAGCCATGAACAATATTTTTCTGTAATTGTACTCGTATCCTACCAATCTTTATGACGAAATAATATTCCAAATTATCTGTAAAAGCCGCCGACCGCGCCATTCATAGAACTTACTTAACGTCATTTGTACAGATACTTGTGGGTTATTAAAGAACACAATAGACTTTTCAGTATTCAAACGATCTTTAACTGCGCTCGGTATTCTCTTTTTAACGTAGCGGAAAGACAGAGTCACTGTTATTCATGTTTAATGTACTTGTTCCCTATTTCAGAGGTCCATGGTAAAATAAGCAAGATATTTTATATCGGACTTAAAACAGTAATTTCTGTAAAATATATATACATGTACAGCATCTCATTGAAGTTAACCATACGACACCTGCTGGTGGATTATAGATTTTACGTACAAAAAAATAAAAAATAAATCTTCTTGAGAACGAATTTGAGTTTGCTACTACATGAAAAAATGCACTTTTCAATTTGTTAATATAGCTTAGATAAAAAATACAAACTCAATATAACGGCCCTCGTTTCATTTGCCACCTTGTCTACCGCCGACATATGTCAATGTCCTTTTTCTATTTTAATTTTTTTCCAATCCCTATGATAATAAACAAAGCGCATGCAAACCGGCGATTGACAGGTAGTTTTGTGAGTTAGACAGCACATACCTTACGTCGACGTCGGTGATTGACAGGGAGTTCTGTGAGTTAGAGAGTACATAACTTACGTCGACGTCGGTGATTGACAGGGAGTTTTGTGAGTCAGAGAGTACATACCTTACGTCGAGGTCGGTGATTGACAGGGAGTTCTGTGAGTTAGAGAGTACATAACTTACGTCGACGTCGGTGATTGACAGGGAGTTTTGTGAGTTAGACAGCACATACCTTACGTCGACGTCGGTTATTGACAGGGAGTTCTGTGAGTCAGAGAGTACATACCTTACGTCGAGGTCGGTGATTGACAGGGAGTTCTGTGAGTTAGAGAGTACATAACTTACGTCGACGTCGGTGATTGACAGGGAGCTCTGGGAGTCAGAGAGCACATACCTTACGTCGACGTCGGTGATTGACAGGGGGGTCTGTGAGTCAGACAGTACATACCTTACGTCGACGTCGGTTATTGACAGGGAGTTTTGTGAGTTTAACAGTACATACTCCACGTCGACGTCGATGATAGTCTATTGACAGGGAGTTCTGTGAGCTAAATGCTACATAACTTACGTCGACGTCAATGATTGACAGGGAGTTTTGTGAGTTAGAGAGTACATACCTTACGTCGACGTCGGTTATTGACAGGGAGTTTTGTGAGTTTAACAGTACATACTCCACGTCGACGTCGATGATAGTCTATTGACAGGGAGTTCTGTGAGCTAGATGCTACATAACTTACGTCGACGTCGGTGATTGACAGGGAGTTTTGTGAGTTAGACGCTACAAACCTTACGTCGACGTCGGTTATTGACAGGGAGTTTTGTGAGTTTAACAGTACATACCCCACGTCGACGTCGATGATAGTCTATTGACAGGGAGTTCTGTGAGCTAGATGCTACATAACTTACGTCGACGTCGGTGATTGACAGGGAGTTTTGTGAGTTAGACAGTACATACCTTACGGCGACGTCGGTGATTGACAGGGAGTTTTATGAGTTAGAGAGTACATGCCTTACGTCGACGTCGGTGATTGACAGGGAGTTTTGTGAGTTAGACGCTACATCCCTTACTTCGACGTCGTTGATTGACAGGGAGTTTTGTGAGTTAGACGCTACATACCTTACGTCGACGTCGGTGATTGCCAGGGAGTTTTATGAGTTAGACAGTACATACCTTACGTCGTCGTCGGTGATTGACAGGGAGTTTTATGACAGACAGTACAAACCATGCGTCGACGTCGGTGATTGACAGGGAGTTTTATGAGTTAGAGAGTACATGCCTTACGTCGACGTCGGTGATTGACAGGGCGTTTTATGACAGACAGTACAAACAATACGTCGACGTCGGTGATTGACAGGGAGGTTTATGACAGACAGTACAAACCATACGTCGACGGCGGTGATTGACAGGGAGTTTTGTGAGTTAGACAGTACATACCTTACGGCGACGTCGGTGATTGACAGGGAGTTTTATGAGTTAGAGAGTACATACCTTGCGTCGACGTCGGTGATTGACAGGGAGTTTTGTGAGACAGACAGTACAAACGATACGTCGACGTCGGTGATTGACAGGGAGGTTTATGACAGACAGTACAAACCATACGTCGACGGCGGTGATTGACAGGGAGTTTTGTGAGTTAGAGAGTACATACCTTACGTCGATGTCGGTGATTGACAGGGAGTTCTGTGAGTCAGACAGTACATACCTTACGTCGACGTCGGTGATTGCCAGGGAGTTTTATGAGTTAGACAGTACATACCTTACGTCGTCGTCGGTGATTGACAGGGAGTTTTATGACAGACAGTACAAACCATGCGTCGACGTCGGTGATTGACAGGGAGTTTTGTGAGTTAGTGAGTACATACCTTACGTCGACGTCGGTGATTGCCAGGGAGTTTTATGAGTTAGACAGTACATACCTTACGTCGTCGTCGGTGATTGACAGGGAGTTTTATGACAGACAGTACAAACCATGCGTCGACGTCGGTGATTGACAGGGAGTTTTGTGAGTTAGACAGTACATACCTTACGGCGACGTCGGTGATTGACAGGGAGTTTTATGAGTTAGACAGTACATACCTTACGTCGTCGTCGGTGATTGACAGGGAGTTTTATGACAGCCAGTACAAACCATACGTCGACGTCGGTGATTGACAGGGAGGTTTATGACAGACAGTACAAACCATACGTCGACGGCGGTGATTGACAGGGAGTTTTATGAGTTAGAGAGTACATACCTTGCGTCGACGTCGGTGATTGACAGGGAGTTCTGTGAGTTAGAGAGTCGTTCCCTGCTAACACTCTTAGACATGGTTTGTTTTCTGTCGTGGTCAGATTCTCTTTCTTGTCACTATACAGCGATATCTTGACCACTCAGTTGCGTCCTTCCACTGTACAATGAACCAAACATTTACAGAGAGTCAGTAAACAGTCTGAGTTCAATCAAATCTGCTACGGGAGGAGCTTTCCGAGCCACTGATATAAAACACAGAATCAATAATCATCTGTCGATTTCTTTCTTGTTAGTTTTTGTGTTGTGTAATCATTTCTTCATATTCCCGTAAAAGTGAATCCAGTGTATTTACTCGTACTGTATGATAACGCCTCTGATATGCCTACCAATCTGTTTGAAATAATAATGTTACATATAGGGTGTAGACCCTCACTAATCAATGTGAAATTTACATGTACTTGATTGATGAGTGTGGCACTATTTACACGTGAACCACAGGAAGCATTAATGACGAGCTATCCTGCTCCAGACCAAAGCCACGCCGGATTAATGTTTTGTAGACAGTATTATTAGATACCGACTTTAATTAGACGGCAATCTCCTACGCACGCAGTGGTGATCTAATGAGCGAAAACAGCCCATCGTTACTATTTTTAGATCAATATTGTCGTTCAATAAAATTTCCATTCAATAAAGGTGCAGGAGAGGGATTTAATTCCGAATAGCACAGGCTTGTGTATTAAACAATTTCAAATACATTTGCTTGGCTATTTTTTTCAGTAAAATTAAAAGAAAGAAGGGCTGACATATTGATACAGCTATTATAAATCGGAACCATGATATTTGCCAACATTTTCTACAGCAGTATGTTTGCATAATGAAGGAGTCTATGTAGCATCGAAATACACAGGCAAGATCTTTTTATGTAAATTCAGGTCCAATGTGCAGGTCAATTTTAACAGAAAAGAGCAAAATAGTCAACTTCAGATGAAACAAATTACCTGAACGTGACATCAATTTGACCTGAAATTGACACAGTGAAATTAACCTGACCAAAAAAAATATGTGAATTTGACTTGAGATTCGACTTGAACTTCGGGGAAATTTCAGGTAAGAATTGTTTCAGGTCAAATACCTCAAGAAATGTTGCCTGTGTATATAGGTTATTATTTTATATACATAACAACCGTTAAGACATTGAGACAAACGCATACCATGATGTATGGCGTTAGCATTATTGGTTTCGATCTCGTACACAACGAGACTTATTCTAAGGTATTCATATTTTCCAAGTGATCAATGAGTATACATAAATCGATGATTAAATTAGTAATAATTTGTTTCAATCAGCAATCGAAAATATTTCAAAATATTTAATCTGTCACTTCAGAGTACGAACACCATTAAACATGATATGGACATAACATTATGTGTCAGATGTTGCTATAATTGAATAGTTTGTGGTTTATGTTCAACATCCTGTTGTTAATATTGCTAAACATGTGTTTTGTTTTGAAAATTTAACCGTTTATATTAGTAACTTATTATTTATATTAGAAAATGCATGTACAAAACTGCCGAAATATCATAACTACACATCACATGTGTTATGACGTGCAAAATAAAACAAAAGACTGTAAAGATGAGGCAATAACGTACGACATTAAATGATCAGTCATGGCGACGATAAACGTGATTGGCTAATTTCTTCAGCCAATGAAAAACGCCGTTGCAAAGAATTATGTTTGGTTCCTCTTGACGCAAATAGCATTGAACATACATAATAGGATTTCTAAGGCGACCTTCATTTAATATAGAATTTAAATTTTACAAAGCAACCACATATAATTTGATATCGAATTCACATCACAAGAAACGCCCGATTAAGTTTTTTTATAAAATAAAAAGATAAAGAACATAAATAACAAGATGTTCAAACATATCAATGTGTTACACACCAAAACAGACCATGCAATTAACACATATTTTATTATAGTACATGCATAAATGATGAGATTTATGTTGATTTTAGTTATAATTGTGAGAAGAAGCTACACTTTGTTTAATCAAACGAGAACTGTGCTAAATATAGTGCCATATCTCTAACAGTTTTTCTTAAACGTCGTAATAATGTTATATATCACTGATTATTGTAAATTGTAAATTGAAGTTTGATATTACATTTTATCACATAATGTACTACATTTGTATGTTATCCAGTGAATTAACCCATGTCCAATTCTTTTGAGTATTTACCCATGTAATATGACCTATCATCCCTGTGATTGGTTGTAAGTTCCAATTGTTGCAATTGTGACGGAACGCCTAGGACAAGTACATGACGTCACAGACTTACGCACTGGAGTCAAAATGGCGGGTTTTTTTTTACATTTAAAGTTTGCATGAAAATTATCGTTTTACAGAAATAAATGCCACAAATCTTGATTATGTGAAAAAAAGGATCTTACACTCGGTTTCATTTAATATGAATTTATGAAACTCGTCACGAATTTTTCATCTTAGCTCGCCAGAGGCTCGCTAAAATGAAAAATGTTTAAACTTGTTTCCTAAATCTCGTATGAAATGGAAATTCATGTAAGATCCTATATTTATAATATAATTGTACGGCATATATTAGCTACTCTCTCTCTCTTATGGACTTTTAAAAGCAAGTTCCTTTTAAAGTTAAGTGCTTTTACATGCATTTAATTATTTTTAGTATCTCGTAACTCTCTATGAGTGGCTTTCGTAATATATGTTTTATGTATATTCTACTGTATCATTATACAAATATGTATATATGTAAAGGGTGAGACTTCAATAAACTCTCTCTATCTGTGCATTGCTTAATCAACATAGTGAAATATACATAGGAAGTCAACAAATCATTCTACTGTTGTGATTAAAAAGATAATTAATCGTCAGTGTTTTACCTTATTTACACTAAAAGCGTGTTGAATCCGACTATCGTTTCTAGGTTTTCAATAAGTAAAACTATTGTTTCTAAGTGTTTATCAAATCTTTCTAGTGTTTGTATGTGTTCACTGAAGCCTGTGTCTACATGTAAAAATAGTAAACAGTCACGATGACTTGCGTACAAAGATTCACGTGTGACAACATGTCTTACATGACGGATCGGTATATGTCTGTGACGTCATGATCAAACCACTGCTCCGCACGAGACAGTTACATATGACTATTAAACAAGTATGTTTCGCCTTTATAACATGCTTTCTATTTATGAAACTGAATTTTGACTTGACAATCTCCCGGTTTCCAGGACAACGTTTTTATCTACAGCGACAGTTGAATTAAAACAATCAATTATTCATGAGTGCTGCATGCAAGGAAATCTCAACCCGTCCCGAGGTTTACATTTTTGAATTTCAGTACTAAGTCTCGAAGTGATCCTCAAAGTCCTAAATCCGGGTTGATGTTTATTTCTGTCTGCAATTCAGCGTAGTGATTGATTATTGAATACATAAATCAACCAATGCGCCACGAAATCATGAATAACGCGTAGGTATTTTCTAGTGAATAAATAAATTTGCCACATCAAAACCAAATCATATTACAGTTACTTCCGAAGGATATAAGATATAAATATACATTACTAAAAAATAATAAATCCTTCCTTAAAGAAAAACGTCATGTCAAAAAAGAATGCTGTCATTCTTCGATGCTTGTCACATGTAAACTGCTCAAGCGATGACTTTTGATGACTTGATCCTTTTGTGAAACGTGACTTTTCTTCAGAATAATGGCGCGTATATGGTCTTTCTTCTCTAGGTAGATAAAGGCAGACTGTTTTACCACACTTCACGCGCGCATTGGTTGTTTTTTTCTCGAGAAGAGTTTTTACACTGATTTACTGAGCGAGTCCAACTTATCTCAGTCAAGGACAACGATTCTGTAAAGCAAACTAGTTAAGAATATAATATATGTTGTATTTTCCTAATATTGTATACATATACCATCATAACGAGTTTTATGACCACAGTGTTTCGGAAGATAGAGGCATTGAGTTTTACTTTTTTGACGCTAGGTTCCACTGCTGGTTTCTGAAAGGACGAAGTAGCCATAAGATGTATCAATTATGTGAAACCTGCTCGACTTTCTGTATTGACAAACTAAAGCTTTAAATATGGGTTTCTATATTGTGTGCCTGGAATACCATTGTGTTACTTCACATACACTGTATGTAGAAAGAGGACAAAAATGAGAAAAAAAAACAGCTTGAAAGTTCGTTATAACGTTACTATTGGCTACAAGAGATAACTTGTTCTTCAAGTAGTATTTCATTCAACCATGCAAGAATCAGTTCTAGCTTCAAGGTTACGGCCAAACTCGCGGACTGGTAGTCCAGCTACAAGGTTAGGCCCACATCGAGGACTCATAGTCCAGCGTCAAGGTTACGGCCAACATCGGGGACTAATAGTCCAGCTACAAAGTTAGGCCAACATCGGGGACTGATAGTCCAGCTACAAGGTTAGGCAAACATCGGGGACTGATAGTCCAGCTACAAAGATAGGCCAACATCGGGGACTGATAGTCCAGCTACAAAGTTAGGCCAACATCGGGGACTGATAGTCCAGCTACAAAGTTAGGCCAACATCGGGGACTGATAGTCCAGTGTCACGGTTACGGCCAACATCGGGGACTGATAGTCCAGCTACAAGGTTAGGCCAACATTGGGGACTGATAGTCCAGCTACAAGGTTAGGGCTAACATCGTTGACTGATAGTCAAGCTACAAGGTTACGGCTTACCTCGTGGACTAATAGTCCAGCTACAAGGTTACGGCTAACATCGTTGACTGATAGTCAAGCTACAAGGTTACGGCTAACCTCGTGGACTAATAGTCCAGCTTCAAGGTTAGGCAAATATCGGGGACTGATAGTCCAGCTAAAAGGTTAGGCCAACATCGGGGACTGATAGTCCAGCTACAAGGTTACGGTCGACCTCAGGGACTGATATTCCAGCTACAAGGTTACGGTCGACCTCAGGGACTGATAGTCCAGCTACAAGGTTACGGCAAACCTCGTGGACTGATAGTCCAGCTACAAGCTTACGGCTAACCTCAGGTCTGATAATCCAGCTACAAAGTTACGGCCAACATCGGGGACTGATAGTCCCGCTACAAGGTTAGGCCAGCATC